AGGGGTCGTGGCATTAGGAAGGTTAAGAACCGCTGCTGTAGGGAGCTTGGCCCCTTCCACCTTCCCAGCTCCTGGAAGCAGACGCACAGCCCACCTCCTCTTCAAGTCCCTGAGTGAGTCTCCTGCAGCTGCTGTAACACGTCACCATGAACCTAGTGGCTTAAAACCATACATTTATCATCTCACAGTTCTGGGGTCAAGAATCTGATATGGTCTCGCAAACCTAAACCCAGGTGTGGGCAGGGCTGGTCTTTCCAGAGGCCCCAGGGAGAACTGTTTCCAGCCATTTCTAGCTTCTAGAGGCGCTATGTCCTTGGCTCGTGGCCAAGCCAGCAGTGCAGCCTCTTCCATCTCCCTGACTCTGAGCCTCCTGCCTCCCTCTTATGAGGACCTGTGATGACACCAGGCCCCATGTAATCCAGGACAATCTCTCCCATCTGGAGGTCAACTCATTAGCATTCGTAATTTCATCTGCAAAGTTAATCCCCTTGCCACATTGGGTAACATTCACAGACTCCAGGAATTAGGACACAGGTATCTTTGAGGGGGGTGGGAGGACATTGCTCTGCCCACCATAGATCCCACCTTCCTTGTTGATTTTCTCCATAGGACTGCCCACATGCGGCCTCTATTTAACTCTTCTGTTTCTCACCCATAGACAGAATGATGGGGGTTTTGTTCAAAGCTATTTTCCGCTAGAACTAGAACAGTGTCAGGCACACAGCAGGCACCCATTAAATGCTTGTAGAATGAATGAATGAATGAATGTAGTGAACACTTGGCCAAGAGCAGAACAAGGCCTAGGACTCAGGGCTCCTGACCCCAGCTGGCACCCAGTGGAGAATTTTCCTGAAGGATCCTAGGGAGGTGGTTACTAGTCATGGGAGCCCCTTTTTCAGAAGAGGAAACTGAGGCTCAGGACATTAAAATCCTCTGTCCAAGGTGGTGGGGTGGGCTCCAATGGGAATCTAGGAGTCTCATCCAGGCTGCAGACTGGCTGATTGTCTGCCCTATTCACTGGATAGTACTGGGCCCTCCGACACCCAGCTCTGTGCATACTGGGAGTGGAGAAAGGAATGATGTGGTCCTTGATCTCATGACATTGCCATCTAAGCAGGAGACAAGACTTTCCAGGCTCAGGTGACGTAGGGTGACAGGGTCAGACCATGCAGAACTGGACATATCTTCAAGCTACAACTTAGAATGTCATGCTCTTGCTCGAAACCCCCCATGGTTCCCCCCTGCTGCCCAAATTGAGTTTGAACACCTCACTGTAGGTTCAACACCCTGTGTGGTTTCACCCTTGCAGACCCCAACTGTCACACCCAAACTCAGACACATCCAGGCCACAGCCTCTCTGCTCCTCAGAGCACCAGGCTCCTTCCCTCTGGGGCCTTTGCCCAGTGGGGGTCCCCACCTGGGACACCATTTCCCAGACTTCCTCCTGATGGACTACTGCCCACTGTTTAGTTGTCAGCTCAAACTGGCCTCCCCCAGCCACGTGACCCTCCTTTTCCCAAAAGATCTACTTCATTTATTTGTTTGCATGGTTCTTATATGCTTGCCCACCTGACGGGATGCTCAGTGAGAGAAGCCAGAGACACAAGGCCACTCAGTGTGTGGTTCATTTCTATGAAAAGTCCAGAACAGGCACATCCACAGAGACAGGTAATGGGCTTGTGGCTGTCAGGGGCTGGGGAGGAGGTAGAGGTGACTATTTATGGCAATGGGGCTTCTTTTGGAGATGATGGAATGTTCTGGAACTAGAGAGAGGTGGTGGTTGCATGTATCTGTGGATGTGCTAAGAAACATTAACTTGAACACTTGAAATGGGAGAAAATGCACCCCATGAAGGCCAGGGTGCCACTATGCCCCCAACGCCAGCTCAGGGCCCCACACACTAGGTTTCAGTAGGAGAAATGGAGACCCGAGTGTGACTGGCTGGGTAGCAGGG